TTGCTAAATGTACAGTTTTAATTTTGTGCTTACAGTAGCTGTTGTAATTTGAATATAATCTGTATTTCAGTCAGTGGAAATCTGTCATATGAAACAGAGAAATCAAACACATTGAACAGCAGTCTAGAATAGGGGGGGAAAGAATAAAAACAACATAAACAGTTCTATTCAAATGAAAACATGTTATCATCAACAGAAAACGCTCGCTGCAGCAGGAGCAATGACAGGATCAACACTTCTCTATGAAGCTCTCAGAAACTCAAAGAGGATGTTGAATTGTGCTGAGAAACACTGTCGCCTATGGGCCAAACATTGCAATTGAGCATCAGCCTTTTAGCAAAAACGCAGTTTACAAAGCAAGATTACGTCCGAAAATACTTTGTATACTACATTTTTCAACACTTATCTTAAGATCTACATCGACACTTAAAAAAAAACAAAATTTAAAAAAGAACTAAACATGCAGATTATTATGACCAATAATATGTTTTATCTTTTCTAAATAAATCTTGCCTATAAATGTCTTGGTCGTATTTAAATTCTAAATCAAAAGAAAAAATATTATTGGCATTTTACACATACATGCATAGCATATTATTTGCATAAATGTGGCATATATGTCACTAAAATACTTTGTCTGATTGATACATACTCCACAAATGCAACACAGAGCCAAGGTAAATAACAAGAACACAATTTTAAATAAAATGGTACTTAATTATGGTCATTTAATTTTTGGGTGTTTGGTTTGACGTATGACTTGGGCTGTACATGTAGGTAAGATTGTGGAGAGGTGTGAAAAAGTTTTGAATGTTATGAGAAGTCTAGCTGGATGTGAATGGGGTGCCAATAGGGAGACGTTATTACTAATTTATCAGGCCATGATCAGGTCCATTATTGATTATGGGTCGTTTGTATATGGGTCTGCTTCTAAAACTGTTTTGAATAGGTTAGATGCAGTGCAAACAAGGGCTTTGAGGATTTGTTGTGGGGCCTTCAGAACTTCCCCAGTTTCAGCCTTGCTTATTGAAATGGGAGAACTGCCCTTATGGTTAAGGCGTATTAAATTAGGACTACAGTACTGGGTAAAAATTAGTGGGTGTAATTATACATATCCAGCAAGGTGTTTGTTGCAAGAGTTTGTTAGAAGTAGGAAATATAATAATTTTTTTATTAATGTAAATCAGTGGGCTAGGAAGATGGGATTGGAACAGGGAGGTATTGCAGAGCATATAGGATGGTTACCTATGCCATATTGGGTGATGCCTGAGTTGAAAGTTGAGTTTGCTTTTCTTCAGGAAAAAGATAAGATGGAGGTGATACCAAGAATAGTGGTATATCTTAATTCAATTAATCAGAGTAGTATAATCATTTTTACAGATGGGTCTAGAGATCCAATTAATGGGAGAGCTGGGTTTGGGATGTATGTGGAAAAACTAGGGTTGAAAATTGGTCGACGTATTTCGAATGGAAGCTCTGTTCTTACTGCTGAGTTAATGGCAATTTTATGGGCTTTATGGTGGATTGAAGAAGTCAGACCGAGAGAAGTTTTTATCTGTTCTGATTCTGCAGCAGCTCTGGAAACTTTAAGAGCAGGAAAATCTAAAGTTCGATCTGATATTGTAAATGACATCTTGAGTGTGTTTTTTAGAGTTGGGTTTGCTTGCAATATCACCTTTTGTTGGGTGCCTGGGCATGCTGGGGTGATGGGGAATGAGCAGGCAGATTATATAGCGAAGGAGAGCTTAGGTAGAGAAATAGATATCCATGTATCCTTGGGGAGGGTGGAACTGAGGGAAAGAGGGCTTAATAAAAGAATGGCAGAGAGTATGGGAAAAGGAATTCAAGGGTAGACATTATTTTTCTATTCAACCTAAAGTTAAGAAAATATGTTTTTGTACTTGTCCATCTCGTAGGGACTCCGTTAAACTGTGTAGATTGAGGTTGGGGCACTGTGGGTTAAATTACTTTTTGTATATTGTAGGGAAGCATATTTCTGGATTATGTGAATGTGGGAATATGGAAACAGTAGGGCATGTTTTCTTGGAATGTAGGAAGTATAATGCAGAAAGAAAAGCACTTTTTGATAAATTGGCAGAATTTGGAGTTAAAGTGTTTTCTGTTACTTCTTTGTTTGGACACAGTGATAAACATAAACTGATCTCTGAGGTAGTTCTTCAGTTCTTGCATAATACAGGACTGTATATAAGAATTTAGTTCAAACTTTGACCTGTGGAGGGCAGTAATACGCCTAGTAGCGTCTACACTGCCGGAAAGATATAAGAAGAAGAAGA